ATATATATATATAAATAATATGACATATTTCTAATTTATTCTTATTCATATAATTATTCCATTGATATATCGAATAGAAAATATTTAACTGAACATATATTTTAATTATGAAATTTGCAACCAATTCAAGTGTATAGATGAAAATTGAAACTTAATTTTCAACTATAACTTGAATTGGTTGAAGATTTCCAAAATAAAATATTGTTAAGAAATATAAGTGACAGATGACTGCTTTGTAAACCAAATCAAAAAGATAATCGCTAACATGCTATTGCCGTTTCAAAATCCACTTTTTTGCTTTTTCTTTCAGAAATTCGCAACCAGTTCGAACTTGAAAGTGAAAATATCTTTTTTATGTTCACTCACGAAATTAGAACTAGTTGAAAATCTCATAAATCTATTTCATTTTTAAATAGAAAATTTGTATTTTGAACGGAAATTATATTTAAATTTGAATAATAAAAATATATTTTGGCCATTTCAATAGCTGATGGATGAAATAAGAGAAATATTATTGTTTGTTTGTTTATGAAAATAGAAAGCGATTACCTGTAGATGATGAATTAGAGAGGACTGATCTATGCTGGGCATTAACAAGACGTTCAACCATGGAGATATCATCGTTATGAATAGCCTGGATGAAATTAAAATAATATCCATCAAAGTTGATCATTAGGAAATTCTAGATGATAGTGGAGATCTAGAAGGTAGAATCAGCAGCAATAGCAGTAACAGCGGGTAGTCGCAACAGAATATGAAATTTCGATGAAAACCTATCACCTATTTATATGGAAAATGTCTGCGTCAGATGGATATTGCAGATGTGTTTCAGGTTATTAGAAGGATGAAGAAGTTCTTCTTAAAACAACTTTACCTCTATAATGAGTTCACAGATGTTACATTGAGCCATAGCTACCTTCCAATCTTCTCTATAATAAGTATTATAAATACTTTTAATTATGAAAGATATTAAAAAGGATATGCTTATAAGGTTATTTGAAGTGTCTCTGATGCAATAGAGGTAATTCACATATGATCCTTAATAACGAGCAGATGTTATATAACATCTGACACTTTAATAATGCTTCTAAGTAACAACCTAATACCTAGGTCATGTTAATATTCTCAGATTATAGCATATCCTTCTCTTTCATGTATTTTGATAATGATGAGGTCAACGGTAGTTAACAAAATAAATTGAAAAACGATAATCGCCAGATGACTCCCTTTTTATAATTACATAGATATATATCCTTATTAATATATATATTTATATATATATATATATATATTTGAATCTTAATCTTCTAGATTGAATGTCATATTCTATTGAAATAACTAAATGAAGATAAATATCTAACTGAATGAAAGATGAAATAAATGAATGAAGATGAAGCAAAAATATTATTTTTCAACACCATATTGGCATTTAGGCACCAAATACGGTCAATAATAGAATATACCGAAGATGATAGAAGATATTACTATCAGAAGCTTTCGCTGTTAAAAAAAGATATGAAATAGATAAAGGAAATAATATTTTAACTTTCCAATCAAACATACAAATAGAGAGAGAGAGAGAGAGAGAGATGAGAATGACAATGAGATAAATGAAATATTAGGAATTTTTACCTATTTTTCGTATTCATTCACACTTCCTCTAATACTTCCTTCCTATTCTATTCAATACTATCTTCATCGTCATTATATATTTTATATAATCTACTTTTATATCTTTTCTTTCACATATCCATTATCATTCTACTAGTCTATGCACTATCTTATAAGAGATTATCATATATGAAATACCTCATAGAATGTTTTCCATTCGGATTAATTGAGCCCATCAATATAGATGCTGTGCTTTCTGTTGGTGTGCCGACTACTGAAGAGTATTCACTACTTTCACCATGACGTTTCAGATAAATGCCAGTAACTGAAATAAATATATGAATACATCTTCATTCTTCTTAAAATTATAAAATTATTTTAAAAAAATGAATATCATACATGACTGGCCACTCTGTTGATGTACCAACCGATGTCTTAGTCGTTTAGAAGATGAAACATCAGATTGCACAGACCTAAACCAATCAAATAATATTAATATCTATATAAGGGAAGTCATTCTTATTCTATTATTGTCTTCTCTAATATACAAGATTACTTATAAATCAAAGAAAATGAATTGAAAAAACTTAATTTTCTGGTATTTTGTCAGATATAGTGTCTCTTGAAGGCATATCGTCCTTCATAGATGTAAAATTAGATGAAAATGAATGTAGGGTTAGAAAATTTTGTAAGGACAATACAAAAGCTTGTATCTTCCAATGTAAAGTATTTCAATATTCAAAATATCTCAAAGCATTATTGAGAAGAGGAAGCCGGATAAACTAAAGCTGAATTAAATTTATAAGCTTCTCTTGTTCAGGGGGGGGCTTCACACGTCAATACATTGGAGGATTGCAAAAGAATCAGGATTGCTTTGTTTTATATATCAAATCGTATGGAAATATGCTGTTAATTCAAAATACAATAACATAAAGAGCATTACACGTTGTGAACATTGAAAAACGTGACAAAGAGATTAAACTCTAAAGTATTGATTGGTTGGGGGGGGATGGTGTATTCTTAGAAAACGCATATAGATATGATTAGACTGTAAATGAGCAGATGTCTCGTGAGAGTTTCTACGAAAAATGACAATTGAATATTCATGAGAGTTAGCTTAAACTAAGATGAAATGAAGAGCTAAATGTCTTCGTATAGACAGACAACTGCAATACTTCGTAATGATGCTTTTAAGAATGAAAGAAACCTTGTAATGTATATCCGAATTAAATTCATAAACCTCTCAACAACCTCTCTTATAAGGCTTCTCACCTTTGCTTTACTTAGGATTGAATGAAACCATGCTTGATTGCTATGAGTCATATATCTATCCATTACCATTGTTTATCAATACTTATATGGTATATGTGAAGAAACCATTCAAGGGTCATGTGAAGTCTCTCAAAATAGTTTGTTTTGTCATTATCGTCCACTTACCCTTCTAAGGTTTCAATTATCATTAGTAATATTGAAAGTGTTTCCACTGAACCACCTTCTTGCTCAAAATCCCATTTTAATCTTTTTTTGAACTATTTTCATGTCAGAAACACCTTGAAACATGTCTTAACTCATCAAAAACCATCCATGTTTGAAATTTCAATAAATATAAAAATATTTACATATATACTAACCATGTAACATTGTAATGATGATTATGCATTCATTGTTTCTTCGAAACATCTAGTAAATCGCAAGATCTACTTTCCTTAATCACTTGACTTCATTCTTTCTTATCAATTTTCTTGTCGCCATCAAAATTCAATTTTCTCTTTAAAATGAAATTTTTTTTAAATTTCATGCTCAGCAGTAATTTTGATAGATGGGGAGCTTTCAACGAGGAAGCGGAAGAAAGATTTTTTCCAAGAAATAGATACTTCCGAGACCATGGCTCCTTCAAATCAACGTGTTTCTCAATGATTTGACTAGATGACGTGGTGGCTCCCATATCTCTCTCCTATCATCAAGAGCAATTATGGCAAAAAATGAAGGCATTTTGACAAGTTTAGACATGTTTGAAGGTTAAAATAGCATTTTGAGGAAAAAAGTGGTTGAACGGCAACGTTTTCAATATTACTTTTGCTGACCTTGATTAGGCTTCCCTTTCTCCTCCGAAATCTTTTTAATACTACGTCCTATTCATTTTCATTAAAGCATCGTCATTCCATTTGTAAAACAATCTGAAGCCGACCCATTTCATGATGTTGACGTCATGGCTTAAGAATTATTGAATTATTACGAAAAAATAGTATTAAGGTGTCACCAGACAACTTCCGCTCGTATATGGGCAAAGTTTCTTGTGTGAATCAAGCAGTCAACCATAGAAATTGATATTCTTCAAATTTATTTAAGCTGAACAGATTTGTTAGTG